CAGAAATAAAATTTAAATAGGTTTTAGTTGGAGTATTTATATTTGACACTAAAATTACCTCTTTACTCTTAAATAAACTGGTTACTCACCTAACCCGCATGTCAACCATGACACCGCACGTTTATATGTGTGTTATAAATGGGTGATGCGTTTATGACAAGAACTTGTTTAACCTCAATCTTAACCTGTTTATTTTGTTGGGCATCAGCTCTGATACCAGTTGTTGGGCATCAGCTTTGATATCAGTTGTTGGGCCTCAGGTACCACTTGCCTCAGCTCTGATACCACTCGTTGGGCCCTTTCAATAAAGTAAGAGAAAATTAACGCAGCGGAAAAGTAATGCTTCAGCTCTGATACCACTTGTGTTGGGCCCTTTCAATAAAGTAAGAGAAAATTAACGCAGCGGAAAAGTAAAATTGTGACACACAGAAATTTACGTGGTTCACCCTCAACTGTTTGGGGCTACTTCCACGGGACAAACTCCGAATCATTCTTCCACTATTAAAAATAGTATGTATACAAAGAGAGTAATAAAAAATAGTGGCACACCAAGTGTTTCCCAAAAAACACCCCAAAATCTTCACTATTTTTCTCTCCCCTAGTTTTAGGAAACCCTTCCTAAAACTAGAACTCTCTCTCTACATTTTTTTCTTCTGTTTTCTGTCGTGTGTTGATGAGGGATTCGCTACCTCTGTTTATAGGAGAGGTTAGCGAATGAGCTGTGCATTCACTGCCTAAAAACGTGCTGCTTTTGTTCAGTTTCTTTGCCAAACTTTGAATTACTTGGCCAACTTTTGTTGACTTTTCCCTTTCTTTCAAAGAACACGTTTTCCTTTTTTTTTTTTCTTTTTCAAAGGTGTGTGGGTCCCATATGTCAGAGGGACCCACAACAATGGGTCCCATATGTCAGTTAGGGACCCACAAACAATTCCTTCTTCCCTCCCGACGACAAATGTGGGACTCTCCATTCCTTGCCACTTTTGACCACCTCACTCTTCGACTTTTCCCTTTTTGCCTTAGTTGTTGATTAGAGGGCAAACACACTTCTGACTAGATCTTGACTCCATACATTAGCTCCCCCTTGCAAAAATGTGATTGGATATCTTGAAAATCCATTTCACTACAGTTCAATAGTTCCTTTCCAGGAATTTGAAAAGAAACAGCTCACTACTCACAACTGAGTGAGCAGTACTGGCCCGTGTTACAAAACCCATGGCATTCAGTTTAATGGCTTTCAACTGCTTAAAGCATATGGAATCTTTTTCCCATTCTTCCTGTCTCATCCATCGGTAGAATGGGCACCTGATTTAGAACTTATATTTAAAGTGATTGAGTAAGAGGACAACTAAACCGCGTTTTAACTAACCGCTTTTGCGTTCTCCATTCTAAACCTTTAAAGTACTTTCTCAATGTACTTCTCCTGTGACAACCATAATTTCTTGGTACTTTGATTCCCCAAAATTTTCATACCAAGAATCTGTTTTGCTGGTCCCAAGTCTTTTCATAGCAAAAGACTTACTTAGTTGTTTCTTCAAGCTAGTAATTTTGACCAACAATCAACATATCAACCACATAGAGCAAAAACAATGTAGTCATCATTAGAGAATTTCTTCATAGAAACACAATGATCTGAAATAGACTTTCTGTAGCCTTGCTCCCCCATAACAGACTAGACCTCAAACTTCTTGTAGCCACTGTCCTTAGAGTGTTGCTTCAAGCCATACAGGGCTTCTTCTTTCAGTTTGCAAACACAATCCCTTTTTTTCTAACGAAACGCTCTTGGCTGCTCCATGTTATATTTCTTCTTCCAAATCTCCATGTAGATGGGGGTAGTTTTCCATCCATTGCTCAAGTTTTTCAGTTCAAGACCTAGCGGCCATTGCGAGCCTATTCGAATTGGATGTCATTTTCCATAACTGGTGAAAAAGATAACAAAAATCATACCTTTCTTTTATGATGAATCCTTTTCACAACTCATCTATCGCTTTTGAATTCTGTGGTTGGGAGCTGTGTTCTCCAGCTTGATCTTGATCACCCATGTTGTTCTCAAGCCCATTTGTTCTTCAAAGCTTTCTTGCCTTTAGGCAACTTCACTAGCTTAAATATTTCATCCTCATGCAAGGACTTCATTTCATCTTGCATGGCTTCAATCCAATTCCTCTTATGTTCATTTTCCATAGCTTCTTCAAAGCTTTCAGGTTCTCCCCCATCAGTCGTTAGTACATGCTCATTGACTGGATATCTAGTATATGGTTGTCAGACTCTATTAGATCTTCTTTAATGTTTGAGAACCTTCCGGTACTGGTGGTTGAACATGAACACCATAATCTTCATCTGGTTCATTTTGATTAGGAACTTCTGGATTTTCTAACTCTGGCACTTATTCTTGTGGAACATTTTTTTCATCTCCAATTCATCTGCTTCTATTGGAGGGACTCTCTGTATGTCTGTTGAGTCTTCATCAGATCTATTGGCACTCTGCTTCAATATCTTCAATAGTCTGATCTTCAACAAATCAATAGTCTATCTTCAATCAAATACACGCATCATGGATTTCTTAATAATCGTCTTCTGGATTTATAGCCACATGGGTCTTGGCCATAGCCAATAATGAATACACACTGTCTAGTCTTGACATTAAGCTTCGACCGTTCATCCTTCGGGACATGTACGAAGGCTTTGCAATCAAACACCTGCAAATGATCATAGGAAACATCATTTCCTAACCATACTCTCTTTGGAGTATCAAATTATAGAGGGAAATAGGGTGAACGATAAACTACTGTGAGTAAAGCTTCACCCCAAAATCTCTTAGACAACTTTGCATGTGAGAGTACACATCTGACTTTCTCCATCAAAATTCGGTTCATCCTCTCAGCCACACTGTTCAGTTGCGGTGTCTTGGGAGGTGTCGTTTGATGTCGAATGCCATGCTCTTTGCAGAAAGCATCAAATGGCCCAGTGTATTCTCTGCAGAACAGCATCAAGATGGCAGTGCTATTCCTTCCACCAATTCGTCTTCACTGATACACTTCAGTGTTCCGTCTGCCTGCACTGTCTCCTCAACCAAGGTTTAGGAAGACTTCAATGTGTATACCCAGGTCTTTCCTTAGTATGGTCATGCGATAAATGTCACAAATAGTCGATTTTTCCAACCATATCACATCAATCAATGGTCCACACTAAATCGTGAATGGAGATCGAGATTTAATACTCTCATTCTAGAAGGAGGAGTAATCCTTGAAGCTACTCTGTTTTGCTTTCCCGCCATATCAAGTCAGGACACTTGTCTAAGGGTGGAGGAGCTTATCGGAAGTCCAGGGTAGTACGTTCTTTCTTGCCAGAGTTTTCTTACTCTATGTGGCGGTAGTCGTATGCCACAATCAAACTTGTACTCGTCATTCTTCCAACACACTCAAAGTGTCTTGGAAGAGGTTTCGCTGATGCATCAGCGTGTAGCTTCGGATCTTTAGCTACGACAAAATGAACCTTCTGGGAGCTTCCAGTGGACTATTTCTCTGAAGGTGCTACAGAAGACCTTCATCAATCAAATCTACCAATGCAGATTGATGGATTGCAGCTCGAGAACGCTCCATTCCTCATGCAAGTCTTCTCTTCGCGGTTTTAAGTCAACTAAAACAGCAGGGCAAAGTGCATTTTGATTACCATAGGAGGGAGAATCTCTCAGATTTCTTCCATATATGTAATCCCCCGGCCATTTAAGACCGAAAGTCATTTTGCTTTATTTCCATTTGACGTGTGCATAGAAAAGTCGGTCAATCATAACATAAACCGTATGATGTGAACAGGTAATAATATGTAAATAGTGACAATTGAAATAGTAACGAGTATACCTCGAATAGTAACTGTGAATGCAATGAATAGTAATGTATACGTGGAATAGTGTTTGGGCTTACTTGAAAGACCAGAATTAGCAAACAGTAAACGCCAATAGGTACTGTTCACTACAACTTTGAGTATACTGATTTTAACTAATTCATCATAAGTCGATTCTGCAACTATCTATTTTCGAGCGACAGGGCACAATGGACTCGTCGTAATTTTTCCTCTCATTTGTAGTATATTTATTTTTCAAAATATATTCAACCGCATCCCGCGTACCACTATCTACCGGTGTGTGCGGCGTTGTTATGGGCTGACCCTGCCGAAACCTTCAGCTCTGATCCAGTTGTTGGGCAACCAGTTGTTGGGCATCAACTCTGATACCAGTTGTTGAGCATCAACTCTGATATCACTTGTTGGGCCTCAGGTACCACTTGCCTCAGCTCTGATACCACTCGTTGGGCCCTTTCAATAAAGTAAGAGAAAATTAACACAACGGAAAAGTAAAATTGTGAAACAAAAAAATTTAGGTTGTTCACCCTCAACTGTTTAGGGCTATTTCTACGGGACAAACTCCAAATCATTATTTCACTATTAACAATAGTAGGTATACAAGGAGAGTAATACAAAAATAGTGGCACACAAAGTGTTTCCCAAAAAACACCTCAAAATCTTCACTATTTTTCTCTCTCCTCGTTTTAGGAAACCCAACCCTCTCTTTATATTTTTTTTCTTCTACTTTTCTGCCGTGTGTTGATGAGAGATTCACTACCTCTGTTTAGCAAATGAGCTACGCATTCATCGCCTAAAAACGTGTTGCGTCTTTGAATTACTTCGCCAACTTTTGTTGACATTTCCCTTTCTTTCAAAAAACACATTTTCTTTCTTTTTTTTCTTTTCCAAAGGTGTGTGGGTCCCACATATCGGAGGGACCCACAACATATTTCGCATGTTAGGTGCATTGTATTCGTGTGTCAGATCCATTTTGATACCCAATTTTATATATAGTGTCAAAGCCTTGAAACACTAATTCATTTCACGAGGCTATTACTTATCTTTTCAGCCTTCTTCTCAATTCCAAAACACAAAACATAAAAAATGGCCGTTTACTTATCTTTTCAGCCTTCTTCTCAATTCCAAAACACAAAACATAAAAAATGGCCGTTCAAGCTGCAACGCAAAGAGCTCAAGTTCGTCGAACAGCAGAGTTTCACCCATCCGTCTGGGGTGACTACTTCATCAAGCATGTCTCGGACAGTGAAGTAAAGCAATTAGCAACTCATCTTTACTTTCTCAAAATAAATGTTCAAATATCAATTAATTTTTCAAATATCAATTAATTTCCATGAAATGGCTTAATTCTTTTAGAAACAGTATGATTTTTGCTTCTTAAGATTTTCTGCAGATAGTGAGTTTTTGGAGTGAAGAAGCCGAAGTTCTTAAAAAAGAAGTGCGGGAAATGCTTAGCTCTGCTGCTGATAAACCTTCAGAGCAACTCAAGTTGATAGATGCAATTCAGCGACTAGGCATTGCTTACCATTTTGAAGAAGAAATAGAAACAGCATTGAAACAAATTTATACTACTTATCGAAATCTGAAAGAAGACGACAATCTTTATACTGTTGGTCTTCGATTTCGGCTACTAAGACAAGAGGGTTATAATGTTTCAACTGGTAAGGCCCCCTACTTCTAATCCTTAAAAAGAAAGAAAATAAAATATAAAATTATTAGAAGAGGGTTATAATGTTTCAACTGGTAAGGCCCCCTACTTAATCCTTAAAAAGAAAGAAAATAAAATATAAAATTATTAGAAGAGGGTTATATTAATGTTTCAATTTTTTGTGGGTGGAACAGATGTTTTTAACAAGTTCAAGGATTCAGAAGGTAAGTTGGAACAGATGTATTTAACAAGTTCAAGGATTGCAGAAGGTAACTGTTAAGGAAATCTAATCAAAAGAATATCTAATCAAAGATGTGCAAGGTTTGTTAAGCTTGTATGAAGCTTCATATCTCAGTATACAAGGAGAAACCATACTAGATGAAGCTTGTGAGTTCACTAAAACTCACCTAATGGCAACCCAATTGAGTTCTCCTCTTGCTCATCAAGTTAGTCATGCCTTAAGGTGGCCTGTGCGTAGGGGCTTACCCAGGATAGAGGCTTGGCATTACTTCTCTATCTACAAGCAAAGCGAGGAACACAGTGAAACTCTGTTAAAGCGGGCAAAACTGGATTACAATATAGTACAAAAATTGCATCAGAAGGATATGAGCAGAATCACAAAGTAAGCTATTTTAAAAGATTAAATACAAACTTCTCCTCAGATCTGTCTTAATATGCAGTATGGTCCTTATATTTGATGAGAATTATCATTTTTAGCCTATATATACTCTACCTTCTCAAATAACAAGAAAAGAAATAACAAGAAAAGAAATTAACTGATTTGTGAATCTCAGGTGGTGGATGGACTTGGATTTCACAACAAAACTCCCCTTTGCTCGAGACAGAGTGATCGAATGTTCGTTTTGGGCATTAGGAACATTTTCTGAGCCACACTTCGTTTTTGCTAGAAAAGTACTGTCTAAAGCCGTTGCTATGCTGTCTGTAATGGATGATATTTATGAGCTTCTGTAATGATGGGATATTTTATGATGTGCCATGGCAACAAGGATTGAGAGAACCTTGAGCTTTTCACCAAAGTGATGAGAGGATTTTAATTTCGTTAATTAAAGTACCATCCTTAATTTAACTTAGTTCATAAGCAAGATTTACGAACTCATAATTATCTTTTTTTTTTTTTTTCAAATGTATATTTGACTTTCCAGCTGGGATATTAGCATGAAAGAGGATCAACTTTCAGATTAACATGGAAAGTGTATTTTAAGCATTATTAGATTTTTTATTCTGTAAATAAGGAAGAAAAAACCAAAGGAAGGAAGGTCTTTCTGTATTCATTATGCGAAAGAAGCGTAAAAACTTTCTTTTTACTACCGAACAAAATGATCACAAAAATATTTTTATTTTACATTTTTCCATGAGTATTAATTTTGCAGTGCCTTCACAAGTAAAAACCTTGCTAGATCATTAATCTGAATGCATTAATCTGAATCATAAGTTTCAGTCCTAGAATATTAGAACTTAGATCATTTTGGTTTTGGTCCAATTCCGGCATTTGTTTTGATTTTGGGTATGTTTGACAATATTAGCTATTTTAGTAGCGGTTAGCTATTAGCTTGTAACTCGTAGCTTTTTGTCTAAGAGTTTAAATTAGAAGTATTCAGTAAGAACAACTATTTAACTTAAAATAATAAAAAATGATGTTAGTTGTTTAATTAGTTAAATTCGGAGGAAAAAAATATAAGGAGTATGATTATGAAAAAAATTTAATTAAAATCTAAATGCTAAACGTTAGATATTTAACGCTTCATAAAAAATGTCTTCAACTTCTAAAAATTATTATAAAAGCTATGTTATTGATAGCTACAATCAATAGAAATAGAATTTTAACTTCTTTAAAACGCTAAAAGTTAGCTGAAAAGCTGTTGCCGAACAGAATCTTCGACGTGGTCTAGCGAGGTCTAGTTCTTGTCTGGCTCCTTTGGTTTTTAATTCTGATTTGAAATCGAAATTTCTTGGCCGATTTTGGGCAAAATGGACCTACGGCTGTCCGTATTTGATATAATAAATTATAAAATTTGATTTCACAATGTTTAGAATAGTAAAATGAATATTTTTATTCATATTAACTAAATATGAAACACGAAATTCCAAATGAATTTGAAAAAATTTTGTAGCATTTAATTTTATCAAATGACGTTTAAATGGATGTTAATAGGATGACTGAAATTGCAGGTGAAGAAGCGAGTTGAAGCCTACATAATTGAAGCAAGATGGTTCAACAATGATTATGTGCCAACATTTGAAGAATATATTTCTAATGCTGTGATTAGTTCTACTTATCCCATGTTGATAACCTTATCATTTTGTGCGATGGGTGAAGTTGCTTCTTATCTAATGCTGTGATTAGTTCTACTTATCCCATGTTGATAACCTTATCATTTTGTGCGATGGGTGAAGTTGCTTCAAAGCAAGTATTTGATTGGCTATTCACTGAACCTAAAATTCTATATACTGCATCAGGTCTTGCGAGGCTCATAGATGACATTATGTCCCATGAGGTATGCCAAATTAGTAATATCATAGCTATTTCACTTTAATGTTTCTTTTTATACTTCCAGGAGTTGTACACATCCGCATATATTTTTACGATCCACGGTAAACCCAACTAATCTTCATTTGCCTTTGAAGTCAAAGGTGCTGACCTGAGGGAGTTTAATACTTTACTTTAAATCACTTTAAAGATACATGAGGTGAGAAAATTTTATTTGGACTTGCCGTAATGACTAAAGACACATGAGGTGGATCTCATATTTGAACTCCACCCTATATATTACATACATATGTATGTATAAGTCCTAATTTTTTTTTATACAGATAGTATGGTGCTACAATTTCAGCAGACTTCAAACTCAAACTCATAAATCAATGCAGTACAAAGGCTCATTAAGGGCAATCTATATAGAGTAGATTCTTGTACAGTAATTTTAATTAAGTCCAATTAGAGAATTATTAAATGCTGCAATTTTCAATATATATGCAGTTTGAGCAAGAAAGGGGACATGTTGCTTCTGCAGTAGAATGTTGTATGAAGCAATATGGTGTGTCAAAGCAGGAAGCTTACGAAAAGCTGAATAAAATAGTTGCGTAGAATGCTGTTGTAATGAAGCAATATGGTGTTGTCAAAGCAGGAAGCTTACGAAAGAGCTGAATAAGATAGTTGCTAATATGTGAAAGAATCTGAACGAGGAGCTGATGAATAGAAATTGATATTGCCAAAAACCTTTCTACATGTGCATTCTGAACATGTGTACGTGTAATGGATGTGTGTGGTACATAGGATGAAGAATAGCTATACCCACCTCCAAGCACTTCTCTGAAGGATATTGCTGGCTACCTTTTTAGTATCTGTGGGCTGTTTCAAGCATTAATCAATGTGCTTTGTGTTTTCTGAAATGTAATTGGAGAAAGCAAATAAATGGTTTGTGGGATGTGAAAGTTTCAGTTTCTATATATTATGAAATCTGAAATCATGATTCTATAAGTTCAACCTTGTCTCTCTGGGATTTGGTTTTCTAAGTTTTGCCTTAAATTGCTTTAATTATTGTTTTCTAATGAATAATTAGTTTTGTATTTCTAATGATAATTAGTTTATATTAGTGAATATTGCATGTTGAGATTGTCTTTTAGAGGAGTGGGTGATTAAAAGAAAGCTTTGAGGCATGAATAATCACTTTCTTTTAAGGATTTATTAAGGGCTAATGCATCAGAATATTCCAAACTTTGTTTCCTTTTGCAATGTCATCTTATTTTGACCTTTATGTCTATTTTATCCTAATTTTGACCTTTTTGCAGCAATAAAACTCTCAACTACAATTAAGGATGGAATCGCAATTTGCAAATAAAAAAAATACTTTCATCATTTTTTTAAAATTAATAATAAAATTAAAATTTAAATGCCTTTTGAATATCAAATTATGATCAAATCTAGTAGGTGACACACTTATAATATAAGTATAGTATTTGAGAGATGTGCATTTAAAACAATTAATAAGTTATTTTTTTATTAAATGGATAATAATATAACTATATTATCAATCCAAAAAATTACAGCCATTAGGATTTTTCATCTTTAAAATATAGATAATATGAAAATAAAATAATTATGAAAAATAAAATTATGTATGAAAAATTCCATATTTTTATTAAATTAAATTTTTATTCTATCGCCTGTGGCAAAAGTCAAGTGATAATTATTTTGTTATGAGAAAATGTAATTAGTTGAGTGCGAGATATTATTTTTAAGATGTTAAAGGTTTGTTTTTTTAATTTATGCAGAACATTAATTGGAGTTCAGACCGGTTCATGTGAAATTTTCGTAGAAAATTTGTATTGGTAAGTTGTCACAGGCTGATCGAATTTTATTCGAGAAAGTTTTATAGTTATATTAAAATATTTTGGTGGTGCGATTGTCTTTAAGCTAATTTATTTCCTTAATTACAACGTTGAAGAGTTATGAGTTGGCTACGCACAAGTCGAATTAAGGTAAATTTTGACTTAAAATAATTAAGGTAAAATTGACAAAAATATCAAAATAGGGTGAAATTGAAAAAAATTGCAAAGTTCAAATTACCAAAATATTTTGATATATTAGGCAAGATTTTTTAAAATTTTATAAGTGTCACTTGATTTAAAAAAGATAAAAATATTTTTGCATTTGCAATTGTGTCCTTAATTACTAATGAAGGTATTATTGCTACGGAAAGTCGAATTAAGGTAAAATTGACAAAAATATCACAATAGGGTGAAATTGCAAAAATTTATAAATTTCAAGTTATCAAAATATTTTGATATATTAGGCAAGGATTTAATTATCCCCACTTAATTGTTGAGGTTACAGCAATAATCCTCCCAAGATATAACAAAGATTTGGATATCTATAGGCAACATCCTTGAAGATATTCCTTAGGAAATTTTGTACGTTTTGTTTAGAAATAGGTAACAAAGGAGAGGAAATTATTTTTTGGTGTTTGGATCGGTTGTTACAAAACACTTATTTTTTGAGTTTTAAACTTACTTCGGTTTCAAGAAAAAGCTATTTTCGATTTTCAGTTTTTGCAGTTCGATTTGATTTGGTTCGCAATCAAACCGCCCATTTACATATCCTTACTTTTTAGCACCTTTACTCTCAAAGTATTATATTTATGAAATGGGGCATATTTTGGGGTCTACATGATTGTACCATCTATCCTCTTATTTTACCTCTAATTTCTGCTACTTGCATTATTTTTGGTCTAATGTAATTATTTCTAATCTTGTATACCTAGCGTGACCATAATTCGCTTGGAACATTCAACATGCTATTATATAATATATAAAAAAGAATTCAATAAAAAATATCTAGTTTAATATGTAAGGATAATATCTATTACAAAATAAATTATGAAATTCAATTATTTAGACTCAGTTTATAGTCCCCTCCATAAACCAAACAAATATCAATGCAGATTATGATGAATATCATCAACATAGAAATTGTCACAAACTCCATAGAATTCTAACACAAAGCCAAACCATAAACTAAGTGTTGGCTCAAGGGTCAAAATCTAATCTCGAAATTTTGATGATTAATACAAAACAAATAAATTTAAATTATATTATTTGTGCTAATATTATTTTATGCAGAATTCATATAGAAAGAAAAACGTGCAAGGCAAGTCCTAAATTGTATGTGAAGAAATCCGAAGACCCTAGGAGTTAGGTATTTAGGATACATTGTAGGATAGAGAGAAAATTCATATATAAGCACATAAATTAATTTTTCTTTCATCAAAAATATTTTTCGGAAAATTAGATTCTTCAAAATAAATTCTTTTATTTATTTTTTCGAAAAATATTCTTTAAAGTTAAAAATGATTTAATTTCCTAAAACTAAAGAGATTACGTCTCTAATGTTTTTGGTAATAAATCATACATTATCTTTCTTAAGCGACAGTCCGTTGTTGTGAGTTAGGTTTTTTATAATGTTACCAGAGAACGCATAAGACTAAGTGTGATGGCGTTAGTGTTGATCCCAAGATGGTCGGAGAGAGGACTCTTAATCTCTGTGGTGAAATTTGGTTTGATGTATTAAAGTTTAGCATAACATTTATAAAATTATATTTATTATGGAGACGGGTTGATTTGGTGTGGCTAATATTATTGTTATTAGTCAAATCATAATAGAAAAAAAACGTGCAAGGCATCGGTTACGATTATAAGTTGTGATGAAGTGTTGAATTGATAGTATATCAAGCGGAAAAGACCACTAGGGGTAGAGGTTAGAGTATATATAGGCAATGGATCTTATTGGTGGGGATATAGGGAGATGAAAATCATATATAGACACATCAGAATTAATTTTTCTTTCATCAATATATTTAGTTATATATCGTGCGTATATTGAAGAAAGAGAGTGTAGTTAGCGTTCGAAAATAGAACGTCATTTTTTATTTGTTATTTCTTTTCGAAAAATAGTTGTGAAAAATATTCTTTAAAGTTAAAAATGATTTAATTTCCTAAAACTAAAGAGATTACGTCTCTAATGTTTTTGGTAATAAATCATACATTATCTTTTTCGGAAAATCCTTTGAAGATCTAAATGAACTTCAATATTCTCTTACCTTAAAATGAAGGAAGAATCTTTTCGTTTTTAGTAAGAGCATCTTATTCGAAAAATATTTTCCAAATAAAAATGCTTTCGGAAATCTTTTTGATTATAGGAAAAATCGTCTTTTATTCTTCTTACCAAAAAGGATAAGATAAACTTTTGGTAACTAAAGATTTTCGTATCTTCTAAATAAGGAAAGCAAATATTCTGATTTCAAATGAAATGAAATAATTCACTTTCCAAAAGCAAAGAGACACGATGCTCTCTATAAATAAGCAGTTTTCCACGTCTTGAGCTATGGTGAAAGTAAGAGTTTTTTTCATCTTAAGAGCACTCTCTCATTGATCACATCCTTTTATCTTCAAAACTTACTCTTCCCCATTTTTCTTTTTCAATCTTTACCTTTACGTTTTTATCTTTAAAGAGAAAAGAATTTTTTGGTTCCAACTTTTGAAAAACGTTCTTGTGTTTTAAACAAATTTTCCCTAATCCGATAAACTGTTTTCCCTGTGCTTTATGTCATTCTTTTCTGTCTATTTAGATTCTGTAATCTTAGTAGAATAAGTTCTTAATTGTGAATAAACAAGTGTGTAATAGCTTAGGTTAGAAGCTATGAGAAAAAAGGTTATCAAGCGACCATTCTCCTTGTGTTGAGATTCTAATGTCTTGATTGAGTTTCTGTACTTCTGCAAAAACGAAAGGGTTGAGTTAAACTAGAACTTTTGAAAATCTAGTGGGACAAAGGGTAGAATCTTAGGTTTGTTGATCTATTGCTTATACTGTTGGTTTGTCTCTTACCTTGAAAAGCAGATAACATAAGTTTTGAGATCTCAAAGATAGTCTTGGGGAGTGATGTAGGCGAGTTTAAAGTGCGAAGCCACTTAAAATCTCCTGTGTTGATCCTTTTCCTTAATTTCTGAAGTTTTTTGCTTGATACTGCTTTATTTAACACTTCTGTTTATATTTTAGAAATGCTTAAAGTTATTAATGTTTATGATAGTTCTTAAACCGGAATAAGTCTTATCTTTTCTTAGAATATTAGAAACTCTGGATTTTTCTGATAGTGAATATACCCAAGTTTTTCTAATCGTTCTTCTATTTTTAAAACAAGTATATTTCACTTCTTTGGATTCTAATTAATTTTCTAAAACTTTATGAGAAAGTTCTAATTTCAATAGCTTTTCCAATCATAAAGTAGTTTTGATACTTTGAATAAGGCCCCTTGTGAAGCAGTTCTTAATTTCAATAACTGTCTCCACACAGTCTTATATTGAATTTTCCAAACTTCATGAGGATGTCTAATTCTCAATAGCTTTCCTTTCATAAAGCAATTCTGATATTGGATAAGACATTGTGCAAGCAGTTCTAGTTTAATAGTTTGTCTTTGCATTGTCTTTCTATCTTTTATGAATAGATACATTGTGAGGTAAGTTCTTTATCCATATTCTATTTCTCACGAGTTTCTTTTTAATTTTTCCGCTGCACTTAGAATTTTATATTTTTTTTTAATTCTAGAATAATATCTGTTTTTTTAGAAAACCCAATTCACTCCGCCTACTTTGGGTTTTGGCTCATACATATACGGGACCCACACTAAGCAGTTTCCCTATATATCACTTGTAAAATAGCATTCTATAGATCTAAATATACGTTTTTAATTTTCAAATATAACTAAAAATAAAACTTCAATCAATCAAGAAATGTAAATAATGAAATGTACTACTTCAAATAAAAAGACAAATAAAAAGAGATAGTACATGGATGAGATGTACTACTTCAAATATATATATAGTGATGGAAAAAATCATACTACAGAAGTCATGAGATCGCATATGCATAACAGAGTGATCCAACAGGAAAGTCAATGGATTGTAGGTGACGGGTCAACTATTAGGATATAAAAGGATAAATGGCTTGCGGATACAAATCAACATAGAATTCTTTCTCGACCTACGATTTCAAATGAGAATGCTACTATGAGTCATCTTATCCTCCAAAATCCTAAACAATGGAATGTGGATTTGATTTCGGCTATCTTTGCTCGAGAAGAAATGAGGAAAATCTTATTTATTTCTCTTGGTTTAAGGCGAAATTCGGATGTTAGGATTTGACCTCTTTCGAAGCATGGTAAGTACATAGTTCGGAGTGGCTATGGACTGTTACATGAAGATAGCCTTTCCCAATCATATGCTTCTTCTTTTGTCCCGGTTAGTACTGCTTGGAAACAACTGTGGCAGCAAAATATCCTGCCTAAGGTTAAACACTTCGTCCATAGGGCCTGCAAAAACCATCTTCCGGCGGCAGATTCACTGGTGCAACGAGGAATGCTAATTGATGTAGTTGGCGAGGTCTGTGGCTTGCGTATCGAGAGAGTTATCCATGCGTTGAAGGGTTGTATTTTAGGCGAGCAAGTGTGGAAATATTCGCATTTGAGACTTACAACTTCTAAGTGTCAGGCCTTGAGTTTCATGGAATGGTTTGCAACTATTATAAGTAAGTTCCAAAAAGAGCAGATTGAGCTATTCTTGATGACAGCATGGGCAATATGGCATGCGCAGAATTTGTTAAAATTTGAACATAAGAGACTGTTTATTGTTGAGGTTTCGCAAATGGCAATTGTATGCATCTCAAATTTTTGACAAGCTAATTATCTCAAGAATAGGCTTTTATTTTGTTACTTGTTTTCTTTGTTTAGATGTAATATGGATCGGCTTTTTCACTTATCATTTTCTAGCTAGATTGGGTGTATTGAGGGAGTGTATTGACTTGGGATTATTGCTCGAGTTTAATAAGTTTTTTCTGGATATCTAAATAAGTTTTTTCTGGATATCTAATAAAATTAATTTATTTTGCTGATAAAAATTTTTTTGTCTAAACCTGGTCTGCAAGCTACTAAGTCCGAACAGCGATGGAAGCCGCCCCCATGGCTGGGTTAAGTTGAATGTAGATGCATTGATTAAAGAGTCAATGGGCAATGGCTATAGTTTTGTTGCTCGGGACGAGAAAGATGAAGTTATAGGTTCAGGTACTCGGTTTATTAATATGGTTTTGGTTCCAGAAGAGGCAGAAGCTGATATCGGAAGCTTTTGACCTTGAAAAGCTCTCGAGATGGGTTTGACCTCAGTGATTCTGGAGACAGACTCTCTCTTGTTGGCCTAGCATATCACTTCTCAGCAATTTCTGAAATTTTCATAAGTATACGAAATCGCAACAAGTAATATAGAATGAGAAAAGTATCGTTTCCACAGAGATTGTATACCAAGTACCAAAATTATGTTAACCTACTATTATTTAAACAGCGATTTATGGAATTATATTTAAGAACTAACTTTAATAAATAAAAGAGAACAAGAAGAAATCAAGCAAGGCAAATTTTGATTAAAAGAAATCAAGGTGATTAAAAGAAATCAAGGTTTAAAAGCTACTAGGGATTTTGACTTCACTAAATTCTATTTAATTTATTCTATTAGTTTGATAATCAATTTTAATCGTTCAAGTAGGGAAACAACCCTAGAATCACTAACAAGTTCTCCCGATGTATTGTTAGCTATTTTAACCCAGTCTAAATACCTATCTTCCAATAGCACAATCAAACATGAATTAAATCAGTAAGTTTTATGGTTTGTTTATGAATTCATAACCTAAGGTCATTAACTTATGAAAACCTCCATGAGTCAAGCCATATAGCTTCCGCATCAAGTTATTATTCTCATGTAATTTATTACCCTATTCATATCAAAAACCCTTCTCCCGATAGTGATTAGTGAAATAAATCAATCCTAGTGAATAATCAATCCATGGGAGAAACTTCTACCTGAAAGCATTAAGTTCAAATAATAAATTATATCATAAACAAGGAAAAGTAAATTAATATTATAAAATTGGATATTATAAATTGAAATCGAAATTAAGCTACATCAAATCCCTAGTATGAGAGTTTATTTCGACATAGCAATTAAATAAAACTCAATTAAACTTGTAAATAATCCCATAAAGAGTAATAAACAAAAAGAGAGATAAAAATAAAAACTAGTCAACGATAATCTTGAATGGCTTCCTTGAATCTTGACACCAATCTTAAGCACTTGAAGTCTTGAAAAGAGAAAAATATGTAGAAAATAATATAACAAGAGATGGTATATATAAAGAAAATTGCATCCCCCAATCATGGCTAGTCTCTCTCTTTAAATGGACTTTCTAGAATATCTTCATGATCGTTTAGGAAAGTGGTTTAGGAAAGTGAATCTTTATTGAGTAAGAAATCTTTTAGAGATAGAAAACTGTTTCGGCTTTGTATTTCTTCCCAATTAGGACTCTCCCAGCGTCTAAATAGGATTTAAACTTGATTGGTACATCAAAAAAGCATTTCATGCGGGTCCATGCAAGTAGTACGAGCTGGAACTGACATTCTCGGCCCAATGCAAAATCTGGTCTTCAGCACGGGCGTGCTATCTGGCACGAGTTGGGTACAATGTTTTCTACATTTTTGCTGATTTTCTATAAAATATCCTACAAAATTCCTCAAGATCAAGTGAAATATGATTCAATGAAGCTTAGCTTTGAACAAAAACATAAATAAAACTAAATAAAAACTAATTAAAAATCCTAATAAAAACTATATTAAAAATACTATAAAAATAACACCTATCAATTTCCTACTTTTGACTTTGGAAGAAGGGTATTAAATACTGATATATTAGCAAAAAATTTGGCAATTTTAGGTGTAACCACACTGGTAGAGCTACAAATAGGGTGGCTCATGAGCTATCCAGGCTAGCTTTTAATTCTTTAGATGATATTCTATGAAATATCATTGCCTTCCATAGAGCAATTTATTTACGTTGACAAACTTCCATTAAATTTAAAATATTTCCATTGTTTTTCTAAAAGAAAAAAAGATAAAAAAAAAAGTAGCGACAAAAAAAACTACTTATTTCTAAATATGTAAAAATGATACTATATATATATATTATAATAAAATACAAGGATAAAATTATATTTTTTTTAATTAAAGTCCTAATTAGTCCAACATTTAAGACCTTAAGAAATTTTAACTTCTCATAAGTTCCCATTTACTTTTCCAAACTATATATGGCTTTCTATATATAGTCCCAAAGCCTTGAAACACCAAGTCATTTCACGACGCTATTACTTATCTTGTCAGCCTTCTTTCTCAATTCCAAAACACAAAACATAAAAAAAAAAAAATGGCCCTTCAAGCTGCTACGCAAAGAGCTCAGGTTCGTCGAACAGCAGAGTTTCACCCACCCGTGTGGGGTGACTACTTCATCAAGCATGTATCGGACAATAATGTAAAGCAACTGGCAATTTATTTTTACTTTCTCAAAATAAATGTTCAAAATCAATTAACTTCTACGAAATGGTTTGATTCTTTAGAAATAGTATGATTTTTGCTTCTTAAGATTTTCTGCAGATAGTGAGCGTTTGGAGTGAAGAAGCCGAAGTTCTTAAAAAAGAAGTGCGGGAAATGCTTAGCTCGGCTGCTGGTAAACCTGCAGAGCAACTCAACTTGATCGATGCAATTCAACGACTAGGCATTGCTTAACATTTTGAAGGACAAATAGAAAAGCATTAAAACAAATTTATACTACTTATCAAAATCTGAATGATGATGACGATCTTTATACTGTTGCTCTTCGATTTCGGCTACTAAGACAAGAGGGTTTACTGAGACAAGAGGGTTATAATGTTTCAACTGGTAAGCCCCCTACTTCCAACCTTAAAAAAGAACAAAGAAAGAAAAGAAAATATAATATTAAATGAGAAGAGGGTTAATAATGTTTCACACGTTTTTTGCGGGTGGACAGATTTTTTAACAAGGAACAAGTTCAAGGATTCAGAAGGTAACTTTAAGGAATATCTACTCAAAGATGTGCGAGGTTTGTTAAGCTTGTATGAAGCTTCATATCTCAGTATACAAGGAGAAACCATACTAGATGAAGCTTTTGAGTTCACTAAAACTCACCTTATCGCAACCCAAGTGAGTTCTCCTCCTTCTGATCAAGTTAGCCTCAAGTTAGCCATGCCTTAAGGTGGCCTGCCCGTAGGGGCTTACCCAGGAAAGAGGCTTGGCATTACTTCTCTATCTACAAGCAACGCGAGGAACACAGCGAAACTCTGTTGAAGCTGGCTAAACTGGATTACAATATAGTACAAAAATTGCATCAGAAGGATATGAGCAGGGTCACAAAGTAAGCTATTTTAAAGGATTAAATACAAACTACTCCTCAGATCTGTCTTAATATGCACTATGGTCCTTATATTTGATCAGAATTATCATTTTTAGCCCATATATATACTCTACCTTCTCAAAAATTAAAGTGTTAAGCCATCAATAGATCACATAGACTAAAGTTATTGATCTTACAAAATTGAGGACCAAATTGCATATTCGAGCAAAACTAAAGGAGTGTTCTGTAATTAACAATTTTAAATAATTAAGAATCTCCATTGCAGAACCGTTTAGATAAGAAATAACAAGAAAAGAAATTAATTGAGTTGTGAATTTTCAGGTGGTGGATAGACTTGGATTTCACAACAAAGCTACCTTTCGCTCGAGACAGAGTGATCGAATGTTCGTTTGGGCATTAGGAACATTTTCTGAGCCACACTTCGTTTTTGCTAGAAAAGTACTGTCTAAAGCTATGGCTATGCTGTGTGTAATGGATGATATCTATGATGTGCATGGCACAATTGAGGAACTTGAGCTTTTCACCAAAGTGATTGAAAGGTTAATTTGTTAATTTAAAAAAAAAAATTTTTTTTTTTTTTTTGTTAATTAAAGTACACATTCCCTTTACTAATTAGTCATACAGCCCAAGGTTTTACGAACTATAATTAAAATCTGTTTTTTTTTTTTTAAAATGTAACTTGACTTCAGCTGGGATATTAGCATGAAAAGACCAGCTTCAGATTACTGAAGGTGTATTTTGAAGCTTATTAGACTTTTTTAATTCTGGAAATAGAGAAAGAAACAACCAGGAAGGAAGTCTTGAAGGAAGGTCTTTCTGTATTCATTATGCGAAAGAAGCGGTAAAACTTTCTTTTCTTACCAAACAAATGATTACAAAATATTTTTATTTTACATTTTTCCTGAGTTTAATTTGCAGTGCTCAAAGTTAAACTCTTGCTAGATCATTAATCTGAATCATAAGTTTCGGTCCTAGAATATTAAAACTTAGATCATTTTTGTTTTGGTCCAATTCCAGCATTTGTTTTGATTTTAGGTATGTTCGGTAATATTAGCTATTTTAGTAGCTGTTAGCTATTAGCTTATAGCTGGTCGCTGTTTATCTAAGAGTTTAAATTAAAAGTGTTCAGTAAGAATAACTGTTTAACTTAAAATGATAAAAAATGGCGTTAGTTGTTTAATTAGTTGAATTCGGAATAAAAAAGATAAGGAGTATGATTATCAAAAAAATTTAATTAAAATCTAAATGCTAAACGTTAGATATTTAACACTTCATAAAAAACCCCTTCAACTTCTAAAAACTATTATAAAAGCTATGTTATTGATAGCTACGATCAATAAAAATAAAATTTTTACTTCGTTAAAATGCTAAAAATTAGTTGAAAAGCTGTTGCCGAACAGAATTTTCGACATAGTCTGGTGAGGTGTAATTCTTGTCTCGCTCCTTCGGTTGTTAATTTTGATTTGAAATAGAAATTTCTAGACCAATTTTGCGCCAAATGGACCTACGGCCATACGTATTTGGTATAATAAAGTATAAAATTTGATTTCATAATGTTTCGAACAATAAAATGAATATTTTTGTTCATATTAACTAAATATGAAACACGAAATTCCAAATGAATTTGAAAAATTTTTGTAGCATTTAATTACACCAAATGAGGTTTAAATGGATGTTAATAGGCTGAATGAAATTGCAGGTGAAGAAGCAAGTTGGAGCCTACATAACTGAAGCAAGATGGTTCAACAATCATTATATGCCAACATTTGAAGAATATATTTCTAATGCTGTGATGAATATATTTCTAATGCTGTGATTAGTTCTGCTTATCCCATGTTGATAACCTTATCATTTTGTGCGATGGGTGAAGTTGCTTCAAAGCAAGTATTTGATTGGCTATTCACTGAATCTAAACTTCTATATACTGCATCAGGTCTCGCAAGGCTCATTAATGACATTATGTCCCATGAGGTATGCCAAATTAGTAGTATCATAGCTATTTCACTTTAATGTTTCTTTTTATACTTCAATGAGTTGTCTATATCCGTATCTGTTTTTACGATCCATGGTAATCTTCATTCGCCTTTGAAAACAAATGTGCTGATCTGAGGGAGTTTAATACTTCACTTTAAAGACACATGAGGTGAGAAAATTTTATTTAGACGTGGTCGTAATGACTAAAGACACATGAAGTGGATCTCATATTTGAAATCCATCCTATATATATATATATATATATAATATATATATATATATATATAGATATAGATCCTATTTTTTTTTATACAGATAGTATGGTGCTACAATTTCAGCAGACTTCAAACTCAAACTCAAACTCATATACAAAGGCTCATTAAGGGCAACCTATATAGAGTAGAAAATAATTGGGGGGCAAGATAGATTCTTGTACAGTAATTTTAATTAAGTCCAATTAGAGAATTATTAAATGCTGCAATTTTCAATATGTATGCAGTTTGAGCAAGAAAGGGGACATGTTGCTTCTGCAGTAGAATGTTGTATGAAGCAATATGGTGTGTCAAAGCAGGAAGCTTACGAAAAGCTGAATAAAATAGTTGTAGTTGCTAATATGTGGAAAGTATCTGAACGAGGAAGCTGAATGAAAGAAATTGATATTCCAAAAACCTATTCTAATGTGGGCAATTCTGAACATTGTACGTGGTAAATGGATGTTGTGTACACAGGAATGAAGAGCTATACTCACTCCACAAACACTTCTCTGAAGGATATTCTGGCTACCTTTTATCACTCCTGTGGTGTTTAACATAAATCAATTGCTTTTGGTGTTCCGAATGTAATTGGGAGAATCAAATTAAATGGTTGTGAATGTTGAAGTTAGTTTTCATATATTATGATCCGAAAGTGATCTAATAAAGTTCAACCTTGTTCTGGATTTGGTTTTCTAAGTTTTGCTTAATTGCTAATTAAATATTGTATTTCTGATGATAATTAGTTTATATTAGTGAATATTGCATGTTGAGATTGTCTTTTAGAGGAGTGGGTGATTGAAAGAAAGCTTTGAGGCATGAATAATCACTTTCTTTTAAGGATTTATTAAGCCTTAATGTATCAGAATATTTTGAACTTTGTTTATTTTCCAATTTCATCTTATTTTGAACTTTATTCTATTCTATCCTAATTTTGACTTTTTTGCAGCAATAATACTCTCAACTACAATTAAGGATGGAATTGCAATTTACAAATAAAAAAAATACTTTTTATCACTCTTTTAAATTAATAATAAAAGTATGGTTTAAATGCCTTTTGGATATCAAATTAATAATAAAAGTGACACACTTATAAATTTATAAGTATAGTATTTGAGAGATGTGCAATTAAAACAATTAACAAGTTATTTTTTTATTAAATGCACACTAATATAACCATATTATCAATTCAAAAAATTGCAGCCATTAGGATTTTTCATCTTGAAAATATAGGTAATATGAAAATTAAATATGTAATTGAAAAAATTATACTTTTATTAAATTAATTTTTATGCCATGTGGCAAGGAATATAAATTTATGTTATTAAATTTTTAATTAGCACATTTATTTAAAAAATAAATTTTAATTTATGCAACATTAATTGGATAGACCGATGGAAATTTTTTAAAATTTTATAAGTGTCTCATGATAATTTAAAAAAGATAAAAATACTTTTTGCATCTATTTAAAAAAGATAAAAATACTTTTTGCATATGTAATTTTATCTTTAATTACAGTTAAGGATATTATGGCTACAAAAAGTCGAATTAAAGTAAAATTAACAAAAAGATCAAAATACGGTGAACTTGTGAAAATTTACAAAGTTCAAGTTATCAGAATATTTTGATATATTAGGCTAGGATTTAATTACCCCCACTTAATTATTGCAAGGTCATAGCAATAATCCTCCCAGGATATAACAAAGATCAGGGTATCTACACGCAACAACCTTGAAGATATTCCTTAAAGAAATTTTGTAAGTCTTATTTACAAATTGATGACAAAGGAGAAGAAATTATTTTTCGGTCTTTGAATCGGTTATTATAAAATACTTATTTTTTAAGTAAAATCAAATCGTTTTTGATTTGATTTGCAAACTTATTTGGGTTTCAAGTAAAAGCTATTTTCAATTTTCAATTTTTACAGTCGGATTTATTTCGGTTCGAAATGAAACCACCCATTTGCGTACCCCTACTTTATAGCACCTTTTCTATCAAAGTATTATATTTATGAAATGGAGCATATGTGGGGTCTACATGATTGTACCATCTATCCTCTCATTTTATATCTAATTTCTAATACTTGCATTATTTTTTGTCTAATGTAATCATTTATGATTTTGTGAACCTTACGTGTATCTCCAAAGCATTCAACACACTACTATATAACATAAAAAAAAAAAAGAATTCAATAAAAAAATATCTAATTTAATATGTAAGGATGATATAATATTTGTTACAAAATAAATTATAAAATTCACTTATCTAGACTTGGTCTACAGGCCCATCCATAAACCAAACAAACATCAATGCACTACAGGCCATACCATAACCAAACAAACATCAAATGCAGGTTATTATGAATAATCTTCAACATAAAAATTGTCACCACACTCCATAGAATTCTAACACAAAGCAAACATAATTAAAGCTGCTCTTAATAATCACGTCCGCAAACAATCTAATAATGGGTTAATGAGTCAAGCCGGCTTTCATAAGCTATTTTGAGTTCGGCTTCGAAAAAAAATTCGAAAAAGTTCGGCTTGAATCGAGTTTGAGCATTCTCGTTTTAGATGAATGTAAGCTTGAGCTAATGAATGTCAACACGAACGCCTATGTAACCTTATTGAGCTTTTTATTATATATTAATAATATATATATATATATATTATATATATATATATATATATATATATAATATTATTTAGTTTGTAACTCGAGCCCTAAAAATTATTGAATATATAATATAATAATTAGTTTTCAAAATAATCGAATCAAATCGTAAAAATAAAGGAAAATTTTCAGAATTTTGAAAAGAAAAATACATATTAAATAAAGAGAGTGTTTGAAAATTTCTCTTTATTTCGCTTTCATATATATTCCTTTTGTTATTAATATTTTTTTGAGGATAATTCTTTGTCATTATTAAATGAGTCATTTTTAGTTTTTGTATTACACATAATGAAGTCTTCAACTTTGTTCTATCATTTAAAAGAGTTAAACATAAAACATATACCTAGTCAATCATGAAGAAAGGATCAGTAACACTCAATATACGATAAAGATTTTAATCATAAAAAAGAAAGAAAAACAAGACCGTAAAAATCCTAAATCGAAACGTAAGCAAGAAGCATGAAGAATAGTTTTTTAGTGCTTTGCTTTTAGCAGACTCAATATTTATTGAAAAACAAGACCGTAAAAATCCTAAATCGAAACGTAAGCAAGAAGCATGAAGAATAGTTTTTTAGTGCTTTGCTTTTAGCAGACTCAATATTAATATAAGAAGAAGACAAGCACATAAAGACACATGAAGATGGCTAAATAATTAAATTTTTCATTAAAAAAATTTATAGCACTCTAAATTTTCCGAGAGATGTATTATGTGAATGTCATTTTTAAAGTCCTCAAAATTTAGTGTTTTCACATTGAATTCTTTTTTCTTTTACATTTTTTATTCATTAGAAGTTATATATTCGGAATAATAATATATGTTATAGAACATAAATAGTTCTCTTCTTTAAATATATTATAAATACTTTAATGTGAATTGAATTGGAGATTGAAACATTTAAAGCTTTCAAACTTAATCCTGTCTTAAGGGTGAACATAAATGGTTAAAAATCAAAAAATCAAAATCAATAATAATTATTCATTTTTGATTAGTTTAAAACATATATTTTTAAGTCGTTTTAATTTTCCGATTTTTGGCTCAATTATAGAAATAAACTAAATTTTTCGCAAAGTCGAACCAAATTATTTAATTGAATCAATTTAATTTCAATTTAATTCTATTCAATTTAGTATATACTTTGATTTTTGACTGTGTAGAAAAAATATAATGCAATTTTCGGATTACCGGATCGGTTAGGTTGAAAATTCTTTTCACAGCAAAAGAAGAACTAATGAAAATTATATTGATAATCGTTTAAAAATGTTAAAAATCTGCTTTTTCTTTCGTGGAGAAAATATCAAACTTTATTATAATCATTAAAAACTAAATAAGTGGTAAGCAAATATTTTAATACGTGATATATAGATATATAGTCAACGGATGATGTAATTAAAAACCGAAAATACGTAAATTCACCCTGAAACTTTTACCAAAAAAATCTTAAGGCCTCCTCAACTTTCAAATTGATTTTATAGCACCTTAAATTTTATTTTTTATAATAATCTCATACCTTATCATACTCACAAAAAGTTATGCTGGACGACGAGTGTGATGATGTGTATAATTACACCCTAAGTAATCAGATAATCAAATTCCAAGACCTTTAAGATGGATAAAGCTAAATTCTATAAAAAGAAATTCAATTAAAATATAAAAATACAAAACAAATTGAAAAAATAAAAATATCAGCAAGAAGCAATTGAAGATATGAATCCAAAATAGACAATAGTGCCCTTTTGGTAAAAATATTGCTGCCACTTCTTTTGCCTCCTCCATGACAAACAAACAAAATAAATAAATAGGGGGAAAGAAAATATCATATTAGCTAGGATGAAAAGTTAATCTAGGAAGAACGATTTTATGAAAACCTTCGTCTCTTTATCAGATTTTTCATGAAAATCAGTTCCTAAAACCATGCAAAGCCTCAATCTTTTGTTGAAGTATTTGTTGCCTTTTATCAAGAATTTTGCAGAGAATTTTTTGATTCCTAAATCAAAAGTTGTTGCAATATTTGAAGAGCAAACGTGAATTTTTAGAAAATTGAGAAAGACCTTGAGAAAGAAGACTAAATGAACAATTGTTGTAGAGGAAGAAGGGAGAGAAATTTTCTAAGAGAGCAGAGAGGAAGAAGGGAGAGAAATTTTCTAAGAGAGCAGAGAGAAAAAGGTAAGTTAAAATAATGTTTTTAATTAGTTTAATAATAGAAATATATAATTTTAATTACTTAATTAAGCACTTATCTAATGTGTATAGATGTGTTATTATTACAAAAAATAGTTTGACATGGTCATTGTGGCATGTAAAATGTTATAAATCCAAGAACTAACGACATTCATTGCAGCGTCAACCCCTAATTAATTGACATAGGCACAGTTATTTATTCATAGGGATCCAAATCAAAATCCAAATCAAAACCTTTTGATCCACTTAAATATTTATTTATTACTAGTACATAACGAGAGAAAGAGGAAGAGAAAAAGGAAGAATAAAATAAAGAAATTTGTTTGTATAGAAGAGAAAGAAAGGGCTCGACAATTATGTAGGTAGGTATACATGTGTTCCTTCTTATCACATTAACGCTTCGTTTGGTAATGATTCACTGATATGTTCTCTAGTGCAGCAGAAGAAACCAGATTAGTGACTGAATGTTTGTTGGTCACTGATTTAGTTAGATCTACTGTAGGAAAATTAGGTGCTACTACTAGGTTGGTAAGGCCAGGACTCTCCACACGAATTGTTTGCAGCAAGTTAAGGCAGCAAGTTAAGCAAATGCGCTAGATATCTGGTCTTAAGGTCAACTGCCACATATTGGTGCTCATCTCAAGGCTTCTGAAATTTGCAATTAACCATTGTCTCGAGATGCAGAGGAGAAATCTACAGTATTAA